TGAATGCAGGGTGGATCCATCTAACTCACCTTCTTGCTCACCCTATGATGGGGATAAAGTCTGCATGAGAACTGACAGTTTCCTCCTGTGAACCCCCCTATTATACCAAAATGCTCCCAATACGCCATTACAGTATACAAGAGCTGTAAGTTAGAAACACGCTCAGCAAGCATCTGGAACATGTCAAATATGTTGCATTGGAGATAGGTTCTTGATAAGTTCCGTATAAGTTATGCAAAGGTTACTCAATTTTGGATAAGCTAGACACCACGACTTATATGTAACTTACACTTAACGTATGTCAACGATCACATTACTTACCTGTAACTTATGCCCCACATATCAGCATACGTCAGCAAGGCCTCCTTTTCTTTCTTGTAGGCTGTACCGCTGGCTAAGAGCCTACTTTTTATATTGTGTCATTCTACCAGATAAAGCAACAACAAAACCACTTATATCTATTAAATGCAGTTATACTTAAACAAAGATAGCAACTTTTGACCAGAGCATCTCTGTGTCTAAAATGTTTTCTCAATAATTTCTTTGATTTTTTTGATTGCTGCTTACATTGAGCCAAGTTCTGCTCATTGCTTTTTTCTGTTAAAAATGGTTTTGTGTTTTGCGACCATCATAGTTTAGGGTTGAAACTGAAGAACTGCTCCAATGTCAATGATTTTACACAAACAGTCTACATTCCTTGCTAAACTTTTTACAAATTGGCCTTTAGAAAGTAATTTGACTCCATTTCGCTGGATCAAAATGAGAAGTTACATGTTACTGTACTGTATGTGGATATAATCTGTTTGTTTTTAAAATTCATTGAGGTGATATTTCTTGTAGTTTGCAGCTAGATAGTTTTTATTAAACCGTATTTAATGTTTAAATGCATAATTATCCCTTTAAGAGATACTCCCAGCATAGCTGTGGGTCTCTGCATTTCCTCCAGTGTTATCATAGCCCTCTTATCTGAATAAGCTCACCCATTTCTTATCTTTCAGTTTAGATCAGGGGTTTCTAAATATGTGGCCCTCAGGGATTTTGTGAGGTCCCCTTTACAAGAACACATTTATATAGTAAACAGGGTTTGCTTGTTTCAGTTAAATATTGCATGCATAATTAACTATCCAGGAGGTAAAGATTAAAGAAAAAAAAACATTTTTAATTGAAAATTAAAAACAGTGAGACTTGTATTCCTTTGAATTCTTTTGTGTGTTTTTTTTCCACTAAAAAATATCTTAAAAAATAAATTGCTTATTGATTAATTGATTAATAGCTGTTGATGAGAAAGTGTCCTTACTTTCACCCTTTTAGTGTTCATGGAAAAGGCAAAAATGGGCTGCAGAGTGTTTTTGAGTTCTGCTGCTTTCTTAAAGAACACAAATTAGATTTTCGTCTTTGGAAAATGTAATTATGCACATTAAACCTTTTAAAATGTTAGATCAGCTTGATCATAAACTTTTTGGCTGCAGCAGTTCTGTAAATTCAGATGGAATAACAATAAGTGTTTTGTTTGAATATAAGCCTTTTATTTATTGTATGGAGATAAGAGTTTGTGTATTTTGTAGTTATCAATCACACATGACATACCAAAGGCTGCATGGAGGCAGGACCTGATTTTGGGCCCCTCTTCCTGTAAAAATATCGCCACCACTACCAGCATTTCCATTGGAGACGAAAATTAATTCAACTTGCTGAGCTTAAGGGATATTTACTTGTGAAAAATCTGAGTGCAAAAAGACAGAAAATGACTAACCTTGTTGCATAATTGTAAGTATGTTAACAGAACAATAAAACAATGCAGATTATTCTTTACACTTTTACAAGTTAAAC